GGCCAAAATCACACCTGAGCAATGCATGCCACTAGTTTCTCCATACAGGAGGCGTCTTGAAGCTGTCATTGACAACAAAGGCTTTTCTACAAAGTATTAGATAAATTTCAGTAAGTGTTTTCAATACTTATTTTACCACTGTATATTATCTTTTATTTTGTAATACTAGGTTAACATATTAGACTGTAGGAGGCATCAGGACTCACTATAGATGAATCTGTTATAATTATTGTAACTCTGAGTCCTGAGGGTAGAAATACATCAGCAGTTAGTCCACAAACTGTTTTATTATCTAATGCTAAAAAGTAAATTAGTGTGTCGACTGGACAAAAGCTGAGTTATCTTTTTATAAATACTCAAGTGTTTTGTAAGGCCTTACTATTTCTGTCATTATGAAGAAAAAGACATTAAAGAACTTGATTTCATGTCACTGCAGTAAAGGATGTACAGAGTGACAGGAGTGGAACACGTCCCACTGAGGTTCACATTTAACCCCAGTGAGGTCATCTCTGCTGCCCAAAAACTACATCAACAAAAACAGGACGGCTACAGCCACCTGCTACAGCCACCTGCTACAGCCACCTGCTACAGCCAGGTTAGACAGTTGGTCACAATCTAGCATGTGACATCACTGCTGTTCAGACACACAAACCACAGACTGGAAACAACAACAACAAACAAACACACAGGACTGTTTCGTGTCAAAGATGAGTGCAGCCAGGTCACGTTATTTAGGTCTTGACTGAATAAAAAGTTCAATAAGATTATCATAGATGTTTATTGTTAGATTTGTACTTTTGTTACTTATTGAAATTAAACAGTCGTCTCAAAAATTACTTGATGACTGAACAGAATCTTTAATAAGGTGTCATGAAGGACTTCACAAGGATATATTTGTTTTTCTGTCAGCTCCACCCTTCTCCACCCACCATCACTCAAACTCGTGGGTTTCCTGTGGAAAAGAAAAAAACCTTATCTTAGAAACACACAACTGAAAGGTCTGAACAGAACACATAAAGCCAGCATCGTTGTATAATCTGCATTTTTTAAATGCAGGGAGAAGACTAAAAACTGCTGAAATTAATGATTGAAGCTAAAGCAGAACACTAGATAAAAACTATAAGTAACAAAATGTCAGCTGAAACTAGAAAAATGCTACCGCTAGCTAAAAGGAACTAAAATGAAGCTAAACTCTAATAGTAGAACAGAAGCTAAACTGAACAGAAGGCTAGCTAAATGTTCATTGTAGCAGATAGCTTAAAAAAAAGAATTAGCATAAAAGTCAAAAACAGAGCCAGCAACTGAACCAGAGACTGTTTTTTAATAAATCAATGAAAATTTTTATTGTTTTAAATGTCTAAATGTTACAAAAACCAAACATCAGAGCAGCCATCTCCTGACTGATTTTAATGTGGATAAAATAGACCTAAAGATGTGAAGTATCTCAGTATAATAAACGTACTGTTCCTCATTACTGATTACACTGCAGATTGATGAAGGAGGAAGTAATTTTTTAGTTAAAGTTGTTCTGTTTAAATACATAAAATAAGTGAAGACTTCCTTACTCACAGTTTATCCTTGTTCTTTCTTTTATTCATGGTTAGTTTGCAGATCCAGAGGTGAAAAACCCAGACCTCCCTCTCTTCAGCTCCCCCTGGAGCGTTCCACTCTGATAGAGGATTTATAAACCCAGCAGAGAGGTCTGCTTCAGGGTCTCCTCCCAGTGGGACACACCCAGAAAAACTACAAAAGAATGGGTCCAGGACCTGGGTCCTCTGGTCATGATCCAGACCTCCTGACCGTAGGTGAGAGGAAAAATGCAGGTAGACCAGTGAATCCAGAGCTTCACCTTCAGACTCATGTCAGCTTTCACAATCATGTCTTCAGGATTCTAGATCCCTCTCCATCTGACATCACTGATCCTCAGACTGGGTGTAAAACTTACTGAGTGGAAGGTGAGTTTATTTCTACATTTCAAGAACAAGACAATTCAAAGTGTGTTAAATGATGAAAACATAAAACAGACGTACATCACTGTGACATGTTGAAAACATGAAACAGATGTACATTACAGTGACATGATGAAAACACAACAGATGTACATCACAGTGACATGATGAAAACATAAAACAGATGTATGTTACAGTGACATGATGAAAACATAAAACAGATGTACGTTAGAGTGACATGATGAAAACATAAAACAGATGTACGTTACAGTGACATGATGAAAACATAAAACAGATGTATGTTACAGTGACATGATGAAAACATAAAACAGATGTACGTTACAGTGACATGATGAAAACACAAAACCGATGTATATTACAGTGACATGATGAAAACATAAAGCAGATGTACATCACAGTGACATGATGAAAACATAAAACAGTTGTATGTTACAGTGACATGATGAAAACATAAAACAGTTGTATGTTACAGTGACATGATGAAAACACAAAACCGATGTATATTACAGTGACATGATGAAAACATAAAGCAGATGTACATCACAGTGACATGATGAAAACACAAAACAGATGTGTATTACAGTGACATGATGAAAACATAAAACAGACGTACATCACAGTGACATGATGAAAACATAAAACAGATGTACGTTACAGTTACATGATGAAAACATAAAACAGATGTACATCACAGTGACATGATGAAAACATAAAACAGATGTATATTACAGTGACATGATGAAAACATAAAGCAGATGTACGTTACAGTTACATGATGAAAACATAAAACAGATGTATATTACAGTGACATGATGAAAACACAAAACAGATGTATATTACAGTGACATGATGAAAACATAAAACAGATGTATGTAATAGTGACATGATGAAAACATAAAACAGATGTACATCACAGTGACATGATGAAAACATAAAACAGATGTATATTACAGTGACATGATGAAAACATAAAGCAGATGTATGTTACAGTGACATGATGAAAACATAAAACAGATGTACGTTACAGTGACATGATGAAAAAAATAAAACAGATGTACATCACAGTGACATGATGAAAACATAAAACAGATGTACGTTACAGTTACATGATGAAAACATAAAACAGATGTACGTTACAGTTACATGATGAAAACATAAAGCAGATGTACGTTACAGTGACATGATGAAAACAAAGCAGATGTATGTTACAGTGGCATGATGAAAACATAAAACAGATGTACTTTACAGTTACATGATGAAAACATAAAGCAGATGTATGTTACAGTGACATGATGAAAACATAAAACAGATGTACTTTACAGTTACATGATGAAAACATAAAGCAGATGTATGTTACAG